TAGGCATCTTTGCAGTCAAGAGAGAGGGAGAGAGGGAGAGAGAGAGAGAGAGAGAGAAAGAGAGAGAGAGAGAGAGAGAGAGAGAACCCTCTTTCCCTGCTGCAGAAACTTCTTCCCAAGTTGGCACCTAACACATTAGCCCTGAAGGATTGGGGAGGGACCTGTCAGAAAAGAGGCAAAAGGGAATTCCAGTCTGTGGGGATGGCCCAGCAAATGCAAAAAGCAAGTGCCGTTTCCCAAGGTCTGGAGGCCAGCCTGGGCTGCTGGAACAGAGTGGATCCGTTTCCACCTAATGGGTCTGGGATCTGATGAAGGACCTGGTTTGGAGTGTCTTCTTTGGTTAGAACTCCCCAAATCTGTGAATTTGACCAGGAATCTAAGAATGGGAATAGGGGTGAAATTGAATGCCATAACACATTCAGGTCAGAGGAATTCAGTTCTAGCTGCAAGGGGACAAGTTCCTGTCATGCCAGATCTTTTCTTATAAGAAAGGAACATGGGGATTTTTGTGGGAAGCAGTACTGCAGCAAACAAACACAGACAAGGTGTAAGCTAGTTAACACCCCTACAGGCCCCAGGCCCTATCACCAGCTCTGGCTATGGAATCATGTGGTAACTTGGTTATCAAAAGTGAGAGCTAAAAGTGCAGAAGTAAACAGAAGACAGGGGGGACTCATCTGAAGTCTCAAAGCCAGAGTGGGCAGAACTTGGACTTGAACTGGGGTTCTGACTCTATGCCCAGTATTCTGTCTGTCATCAGGCCTAAAATAGAAAGCTGACCTTTCTGTAGTAATTTTATTCTTTACAAATACCGGAGAGCTGTTCATTAGTTCACATTCCCAGAATCAGGGCAGAGGGGTCAGAGGAAGACTCTGGCTCCTGGAAAGCAAGGGAACATGTCTTGATATTGGCATGGGTTCACCTGCTCTGGAAGGTCATGCCCCACCCAACTCTGGGGAAGTTTGTCAAGGTCCTGAGGAGTCCCAATCCCAGGGAAGGAGCCTGGGAGGCCAGAGTAGATCTTAGAGATGATCTTGGCATCCAATTGGGCTGGACCTGAGCTTGCCCAACTCCCAGGCAGCCTATGTTTTCCCCCTTCATCCTCTTCTGATTTAAAATAATATTCATAGGGCCTGGAGATGGAGCGTGCTTGTCTAGTGTGCTCAAAGCCTGTCTAGTGTGCTCAAAGCCCTGCGTTCAATCCCAGCACTGCATAAATCAGACATGGTAGGACATGCCTGTAATCCCAGCGCTCAGAGGTAGAGGCCAGAGGATCAGAAGTCCACGATGTCTTCAGCTACATAGTTTGAAGCCAGCCTGAGGTACATGAGACCCTGTCTCAAAATAGTAAGAATATTCATGGTAAAAAGTTTAGAAAATTCAGACAAGCCCAACAAACAGCAAAGAAAGTCCACTATGAACCCTTTTTGTTTCTCTCACAGCCTCAGCCCCTGCATCTTTGCTCTGGACAAGGGCTGAAGGAGAGCTTGAATTTTCCTCGTAGGAGTATATGGACATACTCTTGCTACCCTTTCCTCCCTTCTCACATCTTGGACACTTACTCTTGCTCTCTGCCAGCCTTTTCTCTTGGGTGGCTTTCATTCATTACCTGGCTTATCAGAATTCATTGACCATCCCCCCTCCCCCACACTAGACATATCAATGTCTTAACTGTCCCCATTGCCACACCCTATGATCAACACATGGATCCCCCCAACACATACACAGTGACTTCCACAGTATGGGTTCCTAGACTCAGACGGGGTCGAAAAACTTACCAGTCCCTGCAACCTTTGGTACACATCCACAGGCTGTTCTTGAGACATACCCAGGATGAGCCAAGTCGTCATCAGCAGAGAAGACCCCAGGGAACCCGTGTGCCTGTTAACCATCTTGTGATCTGTTTATCTGTGTGTCTGTAAGGAGTTGGCAGTCTGTGTGGGTTGACACAGGCCTAGGAGGCCTCTGGCACCTCCACCAAAGTCAGCACATCTGGAACTGCCTTGCCAGGATGAAGCAAGAACCCCAACACCAGAGGCTCAGCCATGACACTCATCTGCAGTTCTCTCCAGGATTCACCCAACCCACCCCCCCCAATGTGGCAAGTCAGTGTGAGAGAGAGCCCCTGGAAACTGCATAGCTGAGGGAGAGTGAAGAGGAAGGAAGTGAGATTTTAGCAGCAGCAGGAGAGGGAATTTTATTATCAGTCTTCAGATGCTGACCAGTTCTCCAAATGAAAGCACTTTCCTTTGTCTAATTTTCTTTTTTCTCTTTGGCCATGCTGGAGATGGAACCCAGGGCCTTGTGCAAGCTAGGCAAGTACTCTACCACTGACCTACAGTCTTACCCCTCAGGAAATAACATTAGTACCCTGACTCACTCCAGATGTATCAGGGTGACAGAAGACCTATAACTTCAGAGACCCTCTCCCCTGGAAGTCATCACCTTTTCTTTTTCTTTCTATGTGGACCAGGCTGGCCTTGAACTCACAGAGATCCACCTGCCTCTGCCTCCCAAGTGCTGGGATTAAAGGTGTGTGCCATGACACCCTGTGAGTCACACAGCCTTTTCATTCATCCATTCAGGAGCACATAAGTCTCAGTCCCAACCATGTCCCAACATTCAGTCTGCCCTGTGTTTGTGCATGTATTAAACCAACAGCTTGAGAAAAGTTCCCTGACATTTTGATTTGTTATAGGGTAATTCATTTCCAAGGCAAGCAAATGACTTACAAACTCAGGGGTTTACCACTGATTAAGAAGTAAGCAGCTATAAAACTTACTCTGCCACTGGCTGGTTATCCCCATGGAATTCTCCTAAGCAGTGTTGAGGATCTGCTGGGTGTTTGCTGTGTTTCCTCTGCTGGACTCTCCTGCCACACACAGCTGACCACACAGGGCTGCTTCCCAGGGTCTCCAGGGACAGTGATCCTGCCATTACCTCTCTAAACAGCCATCTGCTGTAGTCGGTAGACAGGCCAGGAAGCACCCTCTACCAAAAGACTTCATGCTTGAGATTGCCTGCCATGCTCAGAGGCATGCTGCCCACCAGGTCACACCCACCTGTCATTGCCATGATGCAATATATCAACAAGCCCCTGACTGAGCAGTAGACAACAGTAGTGCTTCACAAACATTCATATAAATAACCACTTCTTGTCCAAGTGCAAGGGCACACTGAGTCCTTGGGGAAAGGAATGTACAGAGCAAGGGATTCTGTCTATTGATGAGGGGAAGGTGGTGAGGGAGGCTCAAGAGATTTACCTGGGCTCTGACTGACCAGTAAGCTTCCATAGGACCAGAGCCTGCTCCATTCTCTGTTCTGCCTTGGGCTGGGCTCACTGTTCCAATCCAAGGCCAAGGGTTATTTTTCTCCCTTTTATTCAGTCTGGGACCCCAGTCCATGGAATAGTGCTACCCATGTTCAGAGTGGGTCTTCCTCCCTCAATTAAACCTCCCTGGAAATGCCCTCACAGACACACTCAGTGGTGTATTTCCACAGTGATTCCAAATCTAGTCGGATTTACCATCACACTTACAATATAAGCAGCATTCAGCCATACTTTGCTAGTTCCTTCTCAACACCTGCCACCTTCCTGTGTTCTGCAAAAGTGAGGCTGGGCCTTGAGGGCCTCCTGGAGGAAGTGTTATTGGGAGCTGGGCCTCAGGATCCTGGCAGTACAGGGGAGTAGGGTAAGGGCCAGCTGTGGTGAGTGTGCTCACTAGGAGTTGGCCAGAAGTGGCAGGGGTCCCCTTTCTGCTGACCCTGTCTCACCTTGGTACAGCTCTGAATGAGAAAACAGAGACATTGTGGTCCAGAGCACCATCAGTCATCATGGGTCCTGCCCAGCTTCTGGTGCTCAAGCAGGAACCACGTGGACTTGTGGAATTGTGGAAGCATTTGGGAGTTTTCATGTATTCAGAGAATAAAGTCAGATGGCCCAGCCCTTTGGAAGCAAATGTCAAAACAGAAGCCCTGGTCTTTGGGAAACATGAGTCCTGGGGTGAAGCTCCTGGGAAGGCCAGTTGGCTGAGCTTCTTTTTTTGACAGGGTCTCCCTAGTCCCAGCCCACCTGGAATTCAGTATGTAGACCAGAGTGGCCTTAATCTCACAGAAATCCACCTACCTCTGCCTCCCAAGGGCTGGGATTAAAGGTGTATACCACTGAGCTGGGTGTATAAATAGTACTTTAGATGGGCACCTGCCTTGTGCCCCACCTGTGCTAGGGCCTGCTAGGAAGTCTCACTCCCCACCTCCTGACTGGGCCCAGGAGAGTGGGCAACCAGAAACAGATTCAGAGACCGTAGTTGCCACTTACACACCTGCTACTAGGAAGCAGGCTTTACCATCCAGAGCCAAGTATGTCTAAGACCAGGGCCTCACTCCCTCCCCATGTTGAGTGGCCACATACTACAGACCCTCTAAGTCCCTGAGTAGCTCTAGAGTAACTGTTAGAGACTGTCACGAGTAGGTCTTCAGTAGAGCTCTCATTGTTCCTGAACCTGACCTCCCAGAACTGCAAAAGCAGAGCAGGGCTCTGGCAAGGAGAGTCAGGGCTCTCCTGTCTCCTGAAACCTCACAGCTTGGGCTTGATGCCTTCCTTTTGGCAGAGTGAGACCCAAAGATCAGTCAAAGGATGCTCGTTTGACAGGAGCCCTGAGGCACAGCTACCCATTACTATGGCAGCAATGAGCACCCAGATTTATGGTCCACAGTCCTGCTCTGGTGGGATGGCTGGCAGCCAGTCCCTTGAAACAACTTCACACATACCCACTTAGCCCCTGACCATCAAGGTCAGCTCATTCCAGAAAACAGGTCAAGACTCACAGGGAGCTGAGATCAGCATTGTCACCTTGACATTGACCCCCCCCCCAGAACCCCATGCTACCTCTGAGGTGGAAGCTGGCCCCACAATGTCTCAGACCCAGCATGAGGGTGGTGCCCCTCCTCCCAGGCCTTCCATCTTCCACTTGATCACATTACACACTGCTGTCTTGCAGGCTTCGCTGTGGCCCAGTGCATAAACCAACACAGCTCACCTTCCTTATCGTCACCGTCACCACCATCTGCCAGTGGGAGCCCCAGCTGCAGCGGGACCACCAGCCACTGCGACTCAGGCTCTTCCTCCACACCCTCTGCAGCCCAGAGCCCAGCAGGTATTGACCATGGGACTTGGGAGGGGGCCTTTGGGAAATCCTGTGGCCCCTTGCCTCTGCCATGACCTCTTACCTACAGCTCCTCATCATGGTATCTGGAGGACACTGTTACTCAAGAGTGTTCTGTGTTCTTTGTGAGTGAATAAGATGGCATCATCCATCAGCTGGGTTAGCACCTATCTCAGCTGGTTTGCTACAGGACTTCCTTGATCATAGAGCTATAGAGGATGGATACCAGCCAGGCCCAATCCAAGCAGCGTGTCGTCATCCCTACATCATCATTGTCATCAAGAGGGGTCCCCCAGAGTTGACTGTGAACCCTGAGAGAAGATGTCCCTGCTAATTGTCCCAGAACAAACCGGTTTCCTTTTCAATGTTTGTACAGCCCAGAAATCTCAATAGGGGCAAGCCCTGCCACCCTTTGGGAATTGGTCAGGATGAGGTGGGATTGCATCTTGATGCCCTTTAATACACATTAGTTCAAAGGCAACACGGAGTCCATAAAAACTAAAATGCCACCCCCACACCCCACCTTCCTTGCCCAGAACTGTCAGGAACGGCTTGTACATAACTGTCTGGCTGCACTGCATCAGATCCTGGGGAGAGAGACATCAGGCTTGGTTCCAGAGCAGCACAGTCCAAAGTATAGCCAGAGAGGCAGGGCTAGAATAGGTATGAGCCCAGTGACTCTAGCCAGTGCAGTGCTTCACACCAAGCAGCTCTGCCTCCGTGCTCTGCAGGGTCCCTGCATCTCTAGCCTGTACCCCCTCCCTGCCCTTTTCTGTTCTCCAAGGTCCTAACAGAGCCCTGCCCATCATTCCTCTGGGCACCTGTCCCCCCACCTGTTTAGTTTTAGAATAAGGGATCGTGGGGAGAGACACATCAGACTTAGGCCATGATGCCATCCCCTTAGCACTGGGGCAAGCATCTTCCTGGGTGTTGCACTTTACTCATCCATGTTTTCAGCTTTTGTCTTCACAGCAGAGGGTTAAGACCCCTGGCACCATTGTCTGTGGTCCAGGAGACCCCACCTGTGCTCCCCCACACACCTGTTAGTCCTGTAAGGCCTCAGTAGAAAGGTCACCCTCAGGCCACCTCACTGGAACCTCTTCCAGCTGCCAGCTCTTCTCCCAGCCCCAGTCTGAGAAAAGTGACTTTTGAACTCAGTTGAAGGTTAGCTACAGATCCAAGCAGTTTCCATGTTACTCCCAGGATCACAGCTGGGAAATTCATACTGAGCATCCTTCAAAGCAAATAAAAGCACTTGGGACCCACCCATCTTGGTTTTGCCTTGCTCCAGGACAGGCATGCAAAGTTGTACATTCATATACTGTGCACATACCTTCCACTGCACACACACATTTCTGTATGTGTATGAACCCAGAGACTCCTGTTTACCAGGGCTCCTGGGATGGAAGGCTGTGGGCACCTTTCTTCTGTTTTGAAGGAGACAGAGCCAACAGCCAAGTGAGCAGGTGACCACACAGTTCAGGCCTAAAACTGAAACCAGCAAAGCCCTATGCTGTTTAAATCAACCCTGTGGTGTGTGCTGGCTCCCTCTGCCTTGGCCTTCCTCAGCCTTACTATCCCCGTCCTCAGTGCCAAGAGCATGTCATCTCTTCTCACAAATCCAGGGGCCATTAGCCCAGTTGTCAGGTGACCAGGCAGTTCCATGGATAAGTGATAGTCAGGCCCTCCTAGGTGTCTGTTCCCATTTGCTGTGTCCCTGGCGAGAACAGAGGCCCCATTTTTTATGTGACATGACAGTAAAAGCCCAAGCCTGACTACCCATCCACCTCTGCCTACTCCAACATAGCTCACCTCCTGAAGAGAAACTGACCTGGCCGGGAATATGCCTCATTCTGGGAGCAGGGAACAACTACCTGAGATATAGCTGTTGATCCTGGGAGGAGAGCACTGGAGTTCATGAGCCCCTCTGCTTCAATGCCATACTTCCAGGATACCCCTTCTATCCAAAACCAAGCATGTGTTTTGTTCCCTAAAGGATGGGCCTAACCACATGGCTCTGACCCTGCCTGGTGCCCTATCAGACTGTGCTAGAGGAGAGCCAAAGACAGAGGAAGGAATGGGAGCCCCTCTTGCCAGTAGCTGAATTTAACAAATTGACTCTAAGTGGTGGCCCAGTATTTAGGGATCAGAGAAAATGCCTCCGCACAGCCTACTGACTAGACATTCCACCCACCAAGGGCTGCCACAGTTAACCAGAGGCAACACCCTTGCATGACCAGCTGGTAGTTGGTAACCCAAGGGCCTTCCCCCATACCATCCATCCTCACTGCCTGCTGCTTAGCCCAAACAGCTGTGGCTTTGCCAGGGAGCCACTTGTCCTCAGTGCTTTTGAGGGTATAGTGCTAACTTGGAGCATTACTGACAATGTGTTTACCAAGTCTCCCAGAAACCAGCTAGCTCCCCAGTATCAAGAGCAACTGCCAGGCCCCCAAAAGCCAGGATAGCAAACTCCAGGAGTTAATGGCCACCAAAGCTACACTTCAAGGTCAGGTGTCTAGTCAGGAAAAAGACATGATTGATGTTGTCCAGCTAGTGAAAGACAGGCCCAGTTTTCTGTTTCTCTGCTTTTTAGTGCTGAGTGCTCAGATTGTACAAGAACATCATTAAGCCTAGATGGGTCCCAAAAATACAGCTAAGTGGGAGGATTGAGGCCTAGAGTCACATAACACAGTAGGTCAGCTCTGGGTCCCAGTAAACTCTGTTAATTTCAAAACAGCCAGAAGAGCAGAGTTGGAATGTTCCTGAACAGAGAGAAACACTTGAGTATCTGAAGTACTGGCACTTACATTACCCTGACTTAGTCACCACACATGGGGTACATGTATCAGAGTAGCACACTGAACCCCACAAGTACAGATGAGCATTGCATCAGTCTAACGTGTTTAGAGAGCTAATGGTGACTCACATACTCTTCTAGTAGTTCTCACAGCCTGGACACCCATTGGTCAGTGTGACTTCCTGCCCCAGCCCCACACATGGCCACCTCAGGGTACACCCTGAACAGTGTCCCAGTAGATGCCAGCCTACTGCTAGGCACCATGTTCAGGTGCACTGCACAGACACGTCCTCACTGAGGCTTGTCCCACTCCACGTCTGTCAGATAGTTGGAAACACAATAGCTCTGAAAGGTCGTATACAACTTATCCACCATGATGCCATTTGCAGGTGGAAGAGCTCAAATTTGAATAAATCCTTAGCAACTTCTGAGCCCTGCTCTGTCATCTAAAACAACCCAGCAGAGTATCTATCAGAAATGGCCCCTGAGTCTCAGGTACTTCCAGGAGTTTCCCAAGGACCCAGGACAAGCTTTGAATCCTGGCTGTAACAAATGACAGGCTGCTGTCCTTCCATCATAAACAGTTGCCAGTGGGCCCAACTCTAAAGCCACAGCCTCACTGACATCTAGAGACTGGTATAGCTCCAGGCAACAGACAACTGAGCTGTGTGGGCCCCAGTCAGGCAAAAGCCTGATGGGCTCCCCAAACAGCAGCAGAGTAGACCCCAGACATCCACATTCTCCTCTGATGCTGGGGTGGGTTAGCTGCCCATCAGGCATGTCCACTCTGTCCAGCGAGGGCAACCTTATACTTCCCACCTGGGTTTGAAAGAGACCCATGTATATCCCCAGTTTGGACAGCTCAGCTTCTCATAGGGGCTTCAGCCTGGACTCCCCGGCATCAACAATGCAGGTTGTTCCTCTTGGTTAGGTAGGCTTGAGACCTGACCCAAGAGGTCCCTTCACCATCTGGACCCTCTGTCTTCTGTCTCCTTGCTGTCTCTCACCCTGGATCTACTCACCTTGACTTGGGTATCCAACAACTCTCTGTACTTCCCTGCCTTTTTTAGGCAACAGGTTTGTGCTGAGGCCCTACTGTGCACAGACATCAGAGATATCAAGTTACAAAGCAGGAATCTCACAGATTAACAGAGGCAGGCAAGGCCTATCAAATACCACAGAGACATGTACAGTTGTAACTACAGTGAGAGTACCACGCAAGGGCTCCACTGGCCAGCACAGACCCACTACAGAAGACTTTTCCTAGTGACAATAGTGAAGGAATGAGCACTGCAAACCAGGGGTCCCTGAGGAAGGGGCCTTTGAGTAGCACATGAGTCTACCTGGGCCCAGCCCTCTGTCTTGCTGGGAATGAGTAGAATCCTTTTCCCCATCTCCCTAAGGCCTTCCTACAAATCCTACAAGTACAGACTTGGGAGTCATCTGTCTTTGAGAAACAGTCTCCATGCCCAGAAATGGCTTTAGAACCTCCAGGTCCAGCACAGACAGGGGGAGAGGTGAGGGAGGAGGCAGCAAAGAGAAATGGTGCCCTGAGGGGTCAACTGCTGTGCTGTGCCAACAGCACCTCCTCCCATGCCACACAGCACTGTGCATATCTCAAGCAGCTCTTTAATAAGGACTCATATTGGGAGTCTGGAGATACCTCAAACTGAGGGAGCACCCACACTGAATCCCAGATGACCCAAGGAACCAGCCAGAGACAGTGAGAGTGAAGGGCTTTGTGTTCCCTGTCAGCTTTTGCCTCTCCAAGCTGAACCCAAGGAGACTCAAGAAGCCTACGTCAGCACCTCAGTTTGTTTGCCCACTGCCCTTTCTAGTATCTCATTTTTTTATTTTTTTAAATCAGTCCCACTATGTTGACCAGACTGACCTTGAACTCCTGGGCTCAAAAGATTCTCCTGCCTCAGCCTCTGAGTACTGGGACTACCAGCCCTTGCCATGGTATCAGACTCTACTACACTTTAAAGAAAGTGCTTTGGAGTGGCCAGTGTCTTAGTGGAGAGTTAGGCACCATGTATTTCTGTATCCAGGGACCAGGTACCATGTCACCTATGTGGCACAACTAACCTAACAGGCTCCCTAGTGAGAAAATAACAAGGTTGGAAACAGCATTTTCCCTGAACTTTTGTGGTTTTGAATTGTAGGAAACCACATGAGAAGGAGACAATAGTCC